GTGCTGGTGCTGCTGCTGTTGCTGTTGTATTTGCTGCTGCAGCGCTGCCGTTTTCTTTCTGTGGCAGTTCTGCTGCTACAGTTGCTGCTGCTGCTGTTTCTTTTCCATTAGCCGCCGCCGCAGCAGCAGCAGGAGCAGGAGCAGCAGCAGCAGCAGCAGCAGCAGCAGGAGGCAGCCCGAGAGCTTTGCGGGCGTAGTGCAGCAGCAAGCCATCGTCTCTGTATGAAGGCCAGCAGCAGAAGAACTGCTGCAGCAGCTCAGTACGTTGATTAAGTATAAGAGACTCCAGCAGCAAACGTGGCTGCTGCAGCAGCAACTCGCGGTGTATGTACACCTCAGACTCAACCATACTCAGCAGGTGAAGAGATGGCAGCAGCTGCTGCAGCTGCTGCTGCTGCTCTGCAGATAAATTCTTATATAGCTGCTGCTGCTGCTGCAACAAACCACACAAATATAAACGACCCGATACCTTTGGGAAACCCCCGCTGCTGCTGCTGCTGCTGCTGTCGCTGCTGCTGCTGCTGTCGCTGCTGCTGCTGCTGCTGCTGTCGCTGCTGCTGTCGCTGCTGCTGCTGCTGCTGCTGTCGCTGCTGCTGCTGCTGCTGCTGCTGCTGCTGCTGCTGCTGCTGCTGCTGCTGCTGCTGCTGTTGAGTGACAACAGCCGCAGCGCAACTCGCGTAGCTCTGCTGCTGCTGAGAGACAGCAGCCTTCGTGTTGCTGCTGCTTGGAGGCCTGGCTGCGCCAGCAGCTGCCTGAGCTCTGCCTCAGCTAGCCACTCCTGCAGCTGGCTAGCTAGCTCGTACGAGTGGCTAGCTAGCTGGGATGAATGGCTAGCTAGCTGGGGTCCATGGCTAGCTAGCGATGCGTAAGACAACGCCCCGCATGCAGAGACAGCAGCGCCGTTCAGCAGCTGCAACACACACCACACAACACACCAACACACACCGCTAGCTAGCTAGCTAGCTAGATAGCTAGTTAGCTAGCTAGCTAGATGGAAAGCTAGCTAGCTAGCTAGGTGGATAGCCAGCTAGTTAGATGGATAGCTAGCTAGCTAGCTAGCTAGCTAGGTAGCTCGCTAGATGGATAGCTAACTAGCTAGCTAGCTAGCTAGATGAATAGCTAGATAATAAACCTAAACACACCCCTGTCTTCTGGCAGCTAGCTAGCTAGCTAGCTCGCTGGTCAGCTAGATAGCTAGCTAGCTAACCAGCTAGCTAGCAACGCTACTCAACTAGCTCAGAAACGCTCGCTCGCTCGCTCGCTAGATAGCTAGACAGCTAGCCACACAGCTAGCTAGCTAGCTAGCTAAACACCTAGCTAGCTATCTCAGCTAGCTAGCTAGCTAGCTAGATATACACCAGCTAGCTAGCTAGCTAGCTAGCTATACCGCCAGCTAGCTAGCTAGCCAGCTAGCTAGCTAGCTAGCTAGCCAGCTAGCTAGCTGAGATAATTAGCGTACCTTAAGCAAAGCTCTGGCGGCTGCATAGCCATTGCAGGCAGCCAACGTCCGCACCACCTACACACAAAACCCTAAACCCTAAACCCTAAACCCTAAACCCTAAACCCTAAACCCTAAACCCTAGACTCTAAAGCTAATAAGGTGAACAAAACCCTCTTAAAGCAGAAAGCAGATGCAGCAGCGAAAACACAGAAGCAGCAAGAGCAGGATTAGGGTTTAGGGTTTAGGAAGAGCTCGACCCCATGCGGCAGCAGAATTAGGGTTTAGGGTTTAGGGTTTAGGGTTTAGGGTTTACGTGTTGTATGCCTTGCTGCGTCTGCATATCCGCATGCAGCTGTCGCCAGCTTCTCCATTTATTTTTAGTTTTTTCGATTGCTGCTTTGTAGCTGCGCCAGGTGTATAGGCAGCTCCGCGTCAGCAGCAGCAGCAGCAGACACGGCCCGCTGCTGCAGCAGCTAAGCTGCTGCTGCACCTCAGCAACAGCACGCAAAGCAACAGCAGCAGCAGCAGCTGCTGCTGCTGCTGCTCTTTCTTCTGCTGAACCCCCAAATAAATCATCCTCATCCTCTTCTTCTCCTGCTGCTGCTGCTGCTGCTGCTGCTGTTCCTGCTGCTGCTGCTGCTGTTCCTGCTGCTGCTGCTGCTGCTGCTGCTGCTGCTGCTGCTGCTGTGCCGTGTCTTGCTGTATGCTCCAAGGCAGCCAGCAAAGGATGCTGTTCTAGGCAGCGACATTCAGTGCTGCTGCTGCTGCTGCTGCTGCTGCTGCTGCTATCGCTGCTGCTGCTGCTGCTGCTGCTGCTGCTGCGGGTGGATGTGTCCTTTTGCGAAGCCTCCGCTGCCTGCTGCTGCTGCTGCTGCTGCTGCTGCTGCTGGATTGCTGCTGCTTCTTCTTGCAGCCTCTCCTGACAAAAGGATAAAGTATGAATGCATGTTTCTATCGGCCAAGCAGCAGACAGCAGCAACGCGTTTCGTGTTGCTGCTGCTGCGCTGCTGAGCCGCATCACGCAATCAGGGAGAGAGAGCTCCTCTTCATCTGCTCCACATTCTGCTGCTGCTGCTGCTGCTGCTGCTGCTGCTGCTGGAGCTGCTGCTTCTGTCTCCGCTAATGCTGGATTCGCTGCTGCTGCTGCTGCTGCTGCTGTTGCTGCTGTTGCTGCTGCAGGTAACAGCAAAGCAGCGTCAAGAGGCCATGCAGCAATTGTTGCTGTCGCGGGGTTTGTAAGCTCCTGCTGCTGCTGTTGCTGCTGCTGTTGCTGCTGCTGTTGCTGCTGCTCCTGCTGCTGCTCCTGCTGCTCTT